CAGAACTCCAGACCATTATCCGTTCGCAGCTTCTTGATCTTCTTCCCGGTCTAATTCTCCACCAATGTCCTCCACTGCTTGAACTTCGTGAAAGTCTCACTTTTCTGCTTCATCGTGAAAATCCAAGTAAATCTCGAATAATCATCAATAATAGACAAAAAAAAATACCTGCTACCTCCAATGGATTCAACTCGTGAAGGACCCCAACAGTCAGAGTGGAGGTAATCCAATATCCCCTTCATCCGGTGGATACCCTTCTTGGAAAACTTGCTGCGATGTAGCTTCCCAAACACACAATGCTCATAGAATTCCAAATTTTGCACCTTGTGCCCGCAAAGAAGATCCCTCTTCGATAGAACTTGCATCCCCCGTTCACTCATATGCCCCAGCCTCATGTGCTAGAGAGTGGTCATATCTTCATGATGAACCTGAGACGATGCATCTGCAGCAGAACCAGACAACACAGACCCTTGTACTGCATACAAGGTCCCACGCTTCACGCCCTTCAACACCTTCCTTGAACCTTTGTGGACATACACAACTCCACCTTTTCCTTTGAAGCTGAAACCCTTGTTGTCGAGTAGACTCAAGGAGATCAGGTTCTTTGTCATTCGTGGAACATGCCTGACATCATTCACGGTACAGAACGAACCATCATGTGCCCGAACCTTTATGGACCCGATTCCAACAACCTTGCAGACAACTCCATTTGCCATGACCACGTTACCACCATCTATCTGCTCGTAGGTTGTGAAGCAATCCCTGTTCGGAGACATATAGTATGAGGCTGCAGTATCTAGAAACCACACATCCCCACGATGTGCCTTCTCATCTACAGCCAAGGCGAGGTCGTCTTCAGAACTGTTGTCCACTTCTGCCAAGGCAACTGAACCTTGTTTCTTTTGTTGCCCTCTTCTCCTGGGACAGTTGTATTTCCAATGCCCCACTTCCTTACAGTTGTGACAAGCGTCACCTGGCTGTGGACCTGGACCCTTGGAATTCTTGTTTGAATTCCCTTTACCAGATTTCTTCTTTCCCTTTCCACCTGTAACAGCCAAACCTGATGCCTCACCACATGTACCAGATCCGGACGCCTTATGCCTGATCTCTCTTGTATGAAGAGCAGACCTGACATCCTCCAACGACACGCTTTCTTTACCGGCAATAACAGAATCAACGAATTCTCATATGAAATCGGCAAAGAAACCAACAGGATTAGGGCAACATCCTTGTCATCAACTTGAACATCTATATTACGCAGATCCAGTAAAATAGAGTTAAGCTGTTCGAGATGTTCCCTCAAAGGCGTACCTTCTTGCATCCTCAAGCTGAACAACATTTGCTTGAGATGCAGCTTGTTGGTTAAGGACTTCGTCATATACAGACTCTCCAACTTTAACCAGAAGCCCGCGACAGTCTTCTCAACGGCGACTTCAATGATGACGTCATCAGACAACGATAGCATGATGTTCGAGTGGGCCTTCTCCTCCAGGGTATTCCACTCATCGTCATCGACCGCTGCCTTCTTATGTTTCGCAGACAGCGGCCCCCATAGCCCTTGTTGTTTTAATAAAGCCTGCATCTTGATCTACCATATAGCAAAGCTGTTCTTCCCCTTGAACTTTTCGATCTTCATGTTCACCGACGTCATTCTTCTGAATCGAAAACCCTAGCCTGATTTCTAGCCGCGACTCTGATACCACTTGTTATAAACTCGCTACTACGGATCGGAAAATTGTCGGAATCGATAAAGCAGGAATACGAAAGCAAGAATCGAAAAACACAGACACACGATTGACGTGGTTCACTAACACGATGTGTGTTAACTAGTCCACATGCGAGAGAGAGTCAGTTTCACTATACCAAGGAGATTACATATTACATAGGAGTATGAGAAGTATTTATAGTACTTCTCCATGTGGGTCTAAACCTAATCCAATCTGGCAAAGGAAACAGTTACAGACCAGGCCCAGAACCCGAACCCAAATAACAATGAGCCCATACACTGTGGGTGGGGGGCGTTGCCACTGGATCCCACTCGCTAACCGGGTAGCGAGACCCCCGACTACCAATCGTAGCGGCTGATAGTCCGATTCTAAGTCACATCAAAACTTATATTAGTTCATACTTTGGTCCATAGCTAGATTTCAAATGAATTAAAACAAAGAGGAGAAAGGAAATTCCGCCGTGCACTCCAATTTCTCCAATCGGATTTGGACGGTCCACTAAGACCAAGTCGCTCCCCTTGACTCCAAAATGGAGGTCCACGCCGGTCGTTTTACTCGTGTTTCCTCCAGTCAAATCTTCGTTAAACTATAACAACGCGGTTGGGTAAAACTATGGGTACAAATTGTTGGCCAATAAGTTCATTAAGAAGTTGTTTTTTACTATAGATGTAAGAGGTTTCTACTACGTCTAAGTTTTGATGGAGGAGACTTCAACACTGTAATATAGGGCTGGCATTTTAATGAGTAAGCTCGTTGTTAGTCGAACCATGAGAAATCACTGATGTAGGGGTTGAGTTCAAGTGCTATCTTCTAATGCTCAGGTTGTCACCCAAATCAGTGGCGTAGTCAGAATTTCAGTTGAACATTGAGAATTTTTTTTTAAGATGATGATATTTATTTAGATATATAGAATGAACATGAGATATTTTCATATTTGAAAATTTTCATAAAACACATTTTGTCGTCCCAAGGTTGAGGGAGAAGAAGAAATTTCAATGAGTTAGAGATTTGAAAAGTGGAGAATAACCAATTAGAGAGGGGTATTTTATTTTAATTTATGTGAAAATGATAGTCTAACGTATAGATTAGAATGTATATATGTTTATATAGGTACGTCTATGATGCACCATAATTCTTACAAATGGGTAGCGAATATTTTAAAGTACATACAAATAATTTAGTAAAACGATATCAAATATAAAGAATGTTTGCTGTCTCTAGAGGAGACACAATCCTAATTCATCATTATTTAGTTCACTCACACCATTTAGTGATTGTTCAAGCAAGTCGGTGAGTATTCACGGAAGGGTTGTGGACTTGTGGTTATTCATCGCCCATAGCGTCTCTGCAACTCGATTTTTTTTTTATCGATCTAGCGATCCTCCTGGCTGGCTAGCTATCTAGCGTTATAACAAAAACTCAGCCGACATATATCTAATTCAACAACTCAATAACATATTGATTTGGCTCATAAGAAAACAGGAGGAAATTAATATACAATTATTAAATTATACATTGTAGCTAAAGTCTAGTCCACGAGATATCATCTATGGTGTAGAAATCTAAAAAAATAGAAATCTAAAAAATTCCAAGTCTTGTTTATAGGCTAAAAACTTGAATTAAATAAGAAATTAATTGAAATTACAACAATCAAAACATCTTGCCATTGCTTTCATTAATTTGAGATAAATTATTCACCAACTCCATCATCATCAACAAACTCTCTAACATTTTTTAGATAAATTTATAGCTGCCCCATTGACTTTGTCTAACCTACTCATTACAACGACTTGGTCATTTTCCTTCTATATATGCTTCTAAGCCTACGAAACAGAACTTGCAAAATGGTCATTAGAAATTGGTCTCTTTAATTATGAATTTTTTTTAACTAATAATATGTATACTTATTAGTCTTACGACAATAGAGTTGTTTGAGAAATTTTGATAACATAAGAATATGGGTGTTAAGAGGAATTATTTGCGCTTATGTCCAAGAACTCATGTGTACCCATGAAGTTGCAAATATCCGTTGGATTGAGTTGAGTTTGGTCTTCCAAATTTCATCGGCAATTGTACTGAATTCTTTTGGCATATACGCCTAGCTAACTTCATTTCGAGTTTAGAGAAAAATAAAGATCCAACCCAACACGCCAATAGACAAGCTTAATAATAAATCCCTAGTCGTCACCAACGTATAGTTTCCCCGGAATTGTTGTCAAAGATTACTGTTGCCTCTCCAAGTTTGTGTAAGTAAAATCGACAATAGATTCCTATCCTCCAAACAAAGAAAGCCATATTTTTTCCATCTTTTCACGTTAAGCAAAAGCGGGGTGGAAACAAACAGAGATCCAAATCATGTTAAAGCCTTTTGGAGGGCCATTGCCATTCGATTGAAAGCTAAAGAAAGGAGCAATGATGGCAGCGGTCACCAACCATGTTGGATGCATGGAAAGGGAAGAAGACTTTTTTCTACTAATGGATTTTTATCACCCACTAATTTAAGGGCATGACTACCCTACCTGTGTAGGGCTTAACTTAACTTCCCGAAAAAGGTTTGGAGTTTGGACTTTATTAGAAAGAAAAAAAGGAAACCGTCGTTGTTGGCTGCTAATGGCGTCCATAATTATGTTCCTAAATGTGTTCAATCCACAGCTCAGCTGCTAGCGTCTCTCCTCCGCGGTCCACTTGCAACGTTTCAAAGACGGGAAATAAACAAGTGAACCACCGGGACTCCGTGGGACTTGGCGGAGGACTTTTCCCCCACTAGCATAAACTATCTTTAATTCCTCAAAAAGGATTCCAGTTTCGCATCGAGCCGCGGATGTAGAGTGGAGGCCAACATTTCATGAGCATGTCACAATCAATTATGACGAATCGTTAGCTTTTACCAACTCGCCAAGCAACAGCCGTAGCAGGGTCGAAGGTTGATACGATCGTTCATTGAGTGCTTACACCATTAACTCGAGAGTCGCTCCACGTCTTAACGCATAAATCAGAGGAGACATCGCGCGAGTCTCCAACTAATCTAGCAGCACGACTGCTGTGAAGATATTGAGTTTTGTATGACTATGTAAATAACTACATCCCATAAATATATTCGGACAGCTGAAATTTAAATCTCATTTGAACTTAACAACAGAACAAATGGTCATTCCTTAAGATCTTTCTACAGAGAGTATGAATCTAGAGACTAACCTTTATAAGTCGAGGTGGTGAGATCAAATGGGGAGACGGCTACGCCTTCTTCAAAAGCAGGAGGACTCCCGCTTCGCATTACATGAAATGATCTTCGACTAGCTTAATCAGCTCCTCCAGCTTCTTAATTATCTTAGGGTTCATCAGATCCCTAGCTTCCCTAATGAGAGTACCTTCCCGGCTGTGATGGTAAGCATCCACCACTGCCTTCATCCACGTATGGAGCTTTTCCGGTGTCCTGCATTGACAGCAACTGAGGATTAACTCTGCTTACAACACAGAAGGGAACATCCCCTGAAATTGTGGACTATGGATGTTTCTGAAATTTAGGAATTATGGATGCTGACATGGATGCTAGTTGAATGAAGCAACTGAAATTTCGGTTTCAAAATACGTACGTGTACAGGCAATCTACATTGCCTCCTTCAAGTTCTTCCCCGGGAGTGAATGCATCGTTTAAGTTGGATAATCGTTCCTCTGGATCCTCGATTGTGAGAAGATGCTTCACTATTCTTATTTCCTTTGGCATGAGCCTCTGAAGATTACCCACTGCTGTCTTGTACAGATGATACAGTATGTCTTTTACCTGTCATATAAAAACAAAAAGTAACAAATCACTGATGCACAGGGGGGAAAAGACCTTTCAAGGTGATATTGGTAACCGGGTTCCAAACCTAGAGTAGATTTGGAACTTTCATCCACCCGTTGCCTCTAGTGCTAGGTCAACTTCTTAGGTCTACAATTAAGAACTTTGAACAAATTGATGCAGAACAGCCTTTGGTAGTTTCAGTTATTTAGCACCTTAGATGTCAGCTATGACTGGAGCACTTCAAATAGATAACTACATTATTCATCAACGGTTAAGCAAAGAATGAAGCAACCCAGCAGTCAAACATAAATCATTTATCTCAGCAATATACTTTTTCAAGGATAGTCCTCACGCATAGCAATTTTTATAGCATTAATCTGCCATTTTCAGCTAAGAAGGACGTGACGAAATATAAGGATGTAACAGAACTATATGTCTCTGATTCACTTTACTTCCTCTAGGTCAAACCCATTCCAACATCCAGGATTTCCAATTTTTGTCAATTCCAAATTGTAATTTCTTTATGCTTTGTTCTGGTATATTATTAAATCATGGAAATCAAGAATTATAAAATGACAATGTTAGTACTAGAAACTTCCAGTTAGAGCTTCATAGACATACACCAGAAAGGCAATTTCACTGAAGGGAAGGGCAGTCATGAACTGTCACTTGTACCTCATCTTTAGTCATATTGGTCTCCTTAGCATCTGACCAGGCTTTAGTGAGCATCAATACCAATGCTGAATCCAGTTGATTTTTTTGTGCCAAATCATCTATTTTCCGGCATGCAGCATCTAGAGAAGGTGAATTGATAATGTCTTGCAACTTCAGCTCTGCTGCATTTACTGCTTTGGTATCCTCTGTTGCATTATCATAGGCTTGTACAACAGCTACACAGTCATTTCCCAGTTTCGCCAAGGCTGGTCAGATTCCAAAAGACAAAAAAGAACATCAGTGTCAATTTAGAAATAATCAATTGGTAAGCGAACACAATCACATTTCAGAGTCATAAATGGTCAAGAAGCAAGATAAAGTTCAAGATATGTCAATTGGAATAGAACTCATGCTCAGTCAATAGCAAAATAAGTATATGATACACAAATAGTACATGAAATGCTATGTTTAATCTCTACGAAACAGTTCTGAGCTTGAACCATGGAATATGTAACCTATTAAGCATGACTCGTCATCCTTGAACTAACAATTTGATTGAAGTGGTGAAAGTATTCACTTGAATTGACTTCGAAGCAATTTTGTGCAGGTAAAGCTCAAAACATCCAAGAACTATCATCACAATAGTTTCAATCGGCCTAGGCTCGAGTCGAGTATACCTATATGAATCTCCATATTATGAAGAAAATAACTAATTCTCAACCGTCAACAATATACAAGCATTACAGTGGAATAGATTCAGTTACAGAACTTTATGACCAGCCTGTATTTGCTCAGTTATAACACACCAAGACAACAAAACTCCAAAAGCAGATGAACAATCAACTAAAATGTGAGGAATCATAATTTCCTTTTTTCTTGAAATAAAATATAGTCTGCTGACAAGCAGCAGAATAAAGCATAATAAGAGAATTCAGACCCACCATTCTGTTCAGCTTTGTCATCCTGATATGACTGTGCCACAGTATACAGATGCACAAAAAATTCTTGAGTGAAATCCTTCCGCCGCCTAGAAACAATCTCACCAAGCTCAGCAGGTGCCTTCCTGATGGCTTCCAGAAGCTCATTATGCCGCTGCACATCTTCATCAACCTGTCATAAGTCCATCCAAACCCCAAAATGATAAGCTGAGCAAATAAAGGATCTTACATTCACTAACCAAGTAACCATACATTTTCTAGTGAACGACGTAAAAGCATAGTGTTCCCTTGAAAATAAATCCAAACACAGCAAACAGAATAGGGAAAGATATGCTTCATGAAACCAATACACAACAGACCTCAAGAAGTATACGAATCAAGGAACCTAAACCGATTCAACCAATTGACAAGCCAAAAATGTATTCACTTAAGCAGCACCATCTATCTTTACAAGATTGGTATCCCACCTCTTTAAGCTTCCTTGAAAGCTTGAGTAAACTATGCTTCATCCCAGGGTCAGCCTCATTGTCAGCTCGTTCCTGGCAACGCCTGTAGAAATGAGGACGGAGGCCGTCCCATTCCCTACTAAACGCGAGCAACCTTCTCCAATCAGTTGGAGTGGTTTTGTCCACCATGAAGACTTCGATTAGCTTGTCACAAACTCGAATCCGACCTTCATCGTACTCCAACACATCTATAACCTCCTGTTCCTGGCTCGCTTGTTCAGGCTCAACAACAGAAGCAGGTTGCGAAGAATTGGGCGATGGTGATTTCTCATTGCTAGGCACCGCTGTTGCACTTCGGGCAACAGCAACAGTAGAGAATTTCCGCGGCCTAATTGCATTCACTGCCAAGTAAGCTGAAACATCCAAGCAAATTCTTACTCAGAACTACTGAACAGAAAACGGAGCCAGGGAGGTCGACCGAAAGAATGACAGACTGACCTTTGAAGTGAGGGGAAGCGCTGAGATAGCGAGGGGAACGGCCCAAGGGGATGAAGGAAGAAGGAGAAGAGTGACCTCGAGAGGCAATCGCAGAAGATGCTGAGCAACAACTAGAGATAGTCGCAAAAGAGGCTAAGTCCGCCATCGTGAGCAGCCTTCTAATTTAACACCTGGCAAATCTTGAAGCTGGGTGAGAAGAGTGTCGCGAACTTCACCAGACTTCAAACTACTCTCTGCGGCATTTCGTCGAGCACCTGTCCGTCGTATGGGATGACGACTTTGCACAGATACTTAGCGGCGACTGCTCAAGAAGCGAAGGGATAGCTTGTTCTCGAGCAGAGATACACCGTAGAAAGAGCGTCGGTTGAGATTTTATGGCGGACCAGTCTCGTGTCTGCTACCAGTTCTTCGGCTGCCGAAGGTTCTTCCCGCGCCTGCTGCCTGGAGGGCTTTCTAGACTACGGACCTTGAGATATTTTGTGGGGGAAAGAAATCCAGTGGATTCAGAGGAGCTCTTTGAAAATCTCGCCCGACCCGACTCACTCTTCTAACCCGACTCGAGTATTACCAAAAGGTCATTTTTTGGGATTGCTATTCGTCGCCCTAAAAATTCTTATTCGTCGCCCTAATTATATTAAATTTACTCTAATACCCTTAATTTATATTTTTTTCTTTCGATCTTAAACTCTAAAACAATCCAAAAAAAAATCACCACATACATCCACTCAGTTGTCGGTGTCGGCCACCTCACCGGAGAAAAAAAAATCCTATGTTGCTCGAGTCTTCGTCTCGCTTATCGCGGCGGATCGTGCTTGGGAACAACCATGCAATTTTTCACGATCATGATCGAAGGATTGGGTTTGGACCTTGGGATTCTCTTTGATTAAGGAATTGCTCTTCTGTCAATTGGATTACGCCCAAGTTTTCTTTCTAATTTTCTTTTCTCTGGTTTTTATATGGGAAAATTAGGATGATGAGTGATTACAAGGTGGAGATGATTGATGATTTTTTCTGGGTTCTTTTACTTCTTCCCGTAGTTGATTGATGGCCACGATCGAAGGGTCAGCGCAATGGGGAGATAGAGTGATGGTGGGTCGGGGAATGGTACTCCGACGGGTTTGGGGAACAACAGCGGCGGCCGGCGGTAATGGTGGTTAGCGGCTGAGTCGATGGCACTGTGCAGTGGGCGAGAGTCGGCGGTCACCCGTAGCAGCAGGGTGGGGACAATTTTCTTCTTCTGCAGTCTCCTCCTTTCCTTCTCCGAGCAGCAGCGGCGATAATGGTGGCCAGCGGCAGGTTGAAGGGATTTAGGTTTATGAATTGTGACGAAATATATGAGAGGGCAATAAGGTAATTTTAGTATAAATTAGGGCGATTTTTTTAAAATATTAGGGCGACCAATAGCAATTCAGCATTTTTTCCCCCGGCTAATTTACAATGTCACTTAAATTACATAAATTTTTTATATTTACCACTCGAATCACTTTTCTTTCTTATTCGCCACTAATTTTACAAATTATTTCACCGTTAGTCAGTGTCGTTAATCTTCGTTAATTTCGTCAATTTTTTGATGATGTGGCAAACAAAACTGATGACTAGACTGTTAACTTAAAGAGATGGCAATTTAAAAGAACAAAAAATACAATTAGACTGCATATGAGCTCACCTTCCCCTCCATCATCTTCTTCGCCTTCCCCATTTTTACGCAGAACAATAAAGCTCGTCGATGGGTTCTTCCTTGGTTGCACGATTAGCCACCGGACCGACTTTCTGGTCCGAAATATGTCAGTCCGGTGGTGGTTATTTGGCCGGCTCCAACCAGATTTTCAGCAAGCCTCTGGTTTCTCGATCAGAATCAATGGTCTTTCAGGTTTTCGTGGACGATGGTCGGAGATTTCAAAGAAAATTCCATCCCACCGCAACAGCTGAAAGAGCGGATTTTCCCACTTCATCTGCGATAAAATGATAGTGTTGAAATCACAACCAACGGACGAAGCCGACGAAGCCGTCGACCAGATCTCGACTCTGCTAATGAGGGTGGGAGAGCTCAAGCTCTTGCAAAGTACTCTAGTAACCAAGTTATGTATGGATTTGTTTCGTATACTCATGTTTAAATTTTAGGCAGTTATGTGTTTATATTTCACTAACTATGGTTAGTGCTAATTATGTCAATATTTGGATGAAAGTTGATTGTAGTTTTGGATGTTGTATTTGATTGTTAGTTATGGCTTTAGATGAATTTGTTTAGTATACTCATATCAAAGTAGTTATGTGTTTGTGTTGCACTAATTACGATTAGTGCTAATTATGCTAATTATTAAAACTAAAACTGATTGTAGGATGGATTATGGTTTTGAATGTTGTATGTGATTGTTAGTTATTTTAAATAGCATACATGGGTAGATTTCGGAAGTTCCATCTTCTTATTCGGTGGAATGGTTGGATGACAAACTCTCACATTGTGATCGAAATTGAAGATGTTCATACATTCCATATTTACATGTTCAAGTTGGGTTTTGGGAGTTCTACAAGACCAAACCTTAATCCAACAAGGAGAAATTAATTTACCCAAACTCAAATCCTCAACACCTGCTCATTGGGTTCCCTTATTGGTTTTTGGGTGGGTCGGTTTGGATCGACCGGGTGGTTCCATTTTCCAAGTGAGTTGGTTTCCTTATGGGTTGGATAACACGTAGATGGCGACAAGAGACGTGTGTACAGCTAAATTGTAAGATCGGTCACTTCTTTTATCAAATTGTTTGGAAAAAATCCCAAAATACACTAGTTCTTAAAAAATTCTCAAATTACATTAGTTATAAATTTTTTTTTCCAAAACTACACATGTTTCACATTCACCGTTATTGACAAACGCAGTGAATATAATCACCGCGTTTGACAATGACGGTGAACATTTCACCGTTTTTAAATAAAATGATGACGTGTTCACCGTTTTTATTAAAAGCGGTGAAGTGTTCACCGCGTTTAACAAAAACGGTGAATACATCACCGTTTAAATTAAAAGCGGTGAAAACGTCACTGTCTTAGGGCAAAGCGGAAAACATCTTCACAGCTCCAAGCTAAAGCGGTGATTATTTCCCACGTTTCCCACCCCTGGTAGGTGGAAATTAGGTCACAATCACCTAAACTTCACCGTTTGAGACAGACGCGGTGATGTTGTTCACCGTTTTTGACAAAAACGGTGAAGTCTGGCCAATTTTCCTTTATATACAACGATCACCAGCAATTGTAAAATCTTAATCCCTCCCCCCTCTTCAAATTTTCAGCAACCAAAACCGAGCAACATACACAGAACAAGAATTTTTGGTATGATTTAATTTTCGTATTAATTCCTAATGGTTGTTTTTAGTAGTTATATTGTTATGTTATGAATTACTTATCGTAGCAAATATGGCCGATGTTATGAATTACTGGAATTATGCTAATAGTTACTTATTGTAAATTGTAGACATGGGTAAATTCAAGAAGTTTCAGCTTATTTTTCGGTGGAATGGAAGGGTTACAAACTCTGACATAGGGATTGATTATGAGGACAGTGTATCCACTATGCTGAAAATTGAGTCGCGATTCAATTTTCAAGAACTCTGTGATATTTGTGCAGACAGGGTTTGTACGAGCGGACAGACGAGACTTGGTAAAATTAGTTACCGGTATCCATGTATGAGTACTAGCGGGCTTGTGTACCAAGAAGTTGTCATAAACGATGATGACGCGGTTACGATGATGTTACAGTTCCTAAGCGATAACGGGATGCGACAAACAGAGGTGTATGTTGAGACCGAGGCGGTCGGTGAAACTCATTCTCACCAGTATTCTTATGATGATGGTTTTGCAGGAGGGTACAGATGGGGTGGTAGTTCGAGCAACTACGAAGGAGGTGGTTATACTGGAGGTTACAGAGAGGGTGGTAGTTCAATCAACTACGGTGGAGGTAGTAGTGCAGGATGGGTGCCATCGGAAGAATACTCGCAACAGGATCAACCTGCCGATGGCGTTCAATGGCCTGAGTGGACTGAAATCGAGAATACCATTCGAGCAGGGCGTACTTCACATGAGCGAGAAGACGATGTTGGTGATGGTGGTCATGTTGATCCTTCTGGGCCGAGCTATCCATTTGACTCGAGCGACGATGATACTGAGGAAGATTTGAGATCAGTGAGCGAGGAGCAAGATACTGATGATAACGACGACGAGGCGGTATTTCGTGAGGCACCAACGCCATACTACACACAGGTTCCAACTCAATTTTTACATAGTTAGAATGATGCCCCTGACTTTGTCCTTATGCCAGTGTATAATCTGACGGCCAATTTGGAGGTGGGTATGGCGTTCTCATCGAAGGACGCTATGCATGATGCCTTTACCGAAGAGGCCTTGAGGCGCAATTTCAAGTGAAAGGTAAAATATTCTGACAGTGAACAATTACATGTCATATGCAAGAATGATGCAGAGGGTTGTACGTGGCAACTGCGGGCTGCAAATATGAAGAGAAAGGGTGCCTGGGTGATTCGAAAAGATGAGACCAACCACACTTGCTCCTCGTCCATACATTCCCAATATCACATGCAACTTAAAGCAAAGAAAATTGGGAGAACTATTAAACACCTTATCGAAGCACAACCAGATATCAAGGTCAAAGCTATCATGGCAGAGGTGAAGGATCGACATTCTTACACGATAAGGTACAAAAAAGCATGGCATGGAAAGCAGAAAGCCATGGCTGAGGTGTATGGTGATTGGGAGGATTCATATGCTTAATTCCCTAGACTTATGGCCGCAAAGGAGGAGTCCAACCCTGGGACTGTTTTCGTGCCAGTATACAACAATGTATACATTGAGGATCAAGTTTGAGTATAAGAGAAGTTGATGTTTCAGCGTCTTTTTTGGGCTTTCAAACCATGCATTGACGGGTTTGCGTTCTGCATACCGGTTATTCAGGTATTTTATTACATGTTTACTATTTGAAATGTTTGTATTCTTTCAGACCAAGTAAATTTCATAATAATTACTTCCTTATATTTAATTAGGTTGATGGAACCTTCCTTACTGGGAAGTACAGAGGAACATTGGAACATGCTCCCATACCCAGAGCTGGAGGATGAACATCGCACCACCAGCTTGTTTGGCTCCCAACTTCGAGCAAGTACACAGCTCCCGGTATACGCTAGCTAACACGACCGATCCCCAACTATTTTCCCTTATTGCGTCCCAATCACCAAGGAGCAAGTCCAACCATATGCCTTGAATCCACCGGTTTGACTTGTCGGGGAACAGAAATCCACCGACCAAACCAATGAGGTAGATGTGTGCATAGCGCTCGACTTGATCTTCTGGTGTCTCGTTGTCGATGGCCACCTCATTTTGGATGTGAGTAACGAGCCACGGGACTGACACTTGTCCCGCATTCAATGGTGGATGCCCCCGTCCTTGAATTGGTGTGTTGGTCGGTATGTCAAAGCCCAAACGATCACGAATGAGCGGCCCCCAACCTCCTTCGGGTTTGGTAGTGCTCCCAATGATGGACTCTCCAGAAATCGGCAGTCCAGTGAGGATCGCGACGTCTTTGAGGGTGATCGTCATTTCCCCCTCCGGAAGGTGAAACGTATGGGTTTCGGGGCGCCATCGCTCCGCCATTGCCGTAAGCAGATCGTTGTCGATTTCGATCCGCATGAAATGCCTTATCATACCCAACCTGGTCCTCTCTATATAGGGCGCCAACCGATCATGCCAAGCGGGCAAGTTTGTGGTCCCTTTATGAACGACAGGAATAAGTGATTCCTACAAAAAAATATAGGAAAAAACATCAATTTGTTAGTTTAAAGAAAGCAAAATAATACTTTAAGAAAATAAAAACAATAAAACAAGATAAATCATGAATTTACCGGATTGTTATCCCAAATAGCACTAGAGCGATGTGCTTGTTGATCGGTTAAATACCTCGTATCTCTTGGGCCATAATGGATACACAATCGAGGATCGTATATCTCGGCATACATCTATAAAAAAAGTAATGAAATCAGATTGTTTTGATAAAAAAAATCACAAAATCAAATTGTTTCGATTAAAAAAAATCACAAAAAAAAACACAAAAAACCTACACGAAGAGCCTCTTCGTCCATTTTTTGGCGGAAGCCAGACAGAGGTTCGACGGGTTTGTAAGGAACGGGAGCTTAGCAGGACGTGGGCTTTAGGTTCAAACTCTAGTAATTCTTTCTGATGTGGAAGATCGGACTTAGCCGCAACCACAAAGCATACTTAGAACGAGACTAGAGCGGATAGATTGAGGGAGAAAGAATTGTAAATGTGGTGGTGTGATTTGGAAGAAGGGGGGAAGGGTTCTATTTATAGGGAAGGATGAGAGGGATTTGCGAAAATTAATGGGGAGCATTCACCGCGTCCCTCAAAGACGGTGAATGCATCGTCTTTTAAAAAAATGATGCCAGATGCGGATCGAGCGACGTGGCTTGCTGTGAGGCGTCGGATCTGGAAAGAAAACCACGATCCTTGCCTCACCGCATCCAACGGCCACGGTGAGTGGGTCAGCGACGCGGATCGCTGACGTAAACAAACACGGGGTATTCACCTAGTTTGTCTAACACAGTGAATAAACCGCATTTGTCCACGTCGGCGATCCTCGTCGCTTGATCGTGGGCAATCGATACGGTTTAGTTTTCACCGCGTTTTATTAAAACGGTGAACATTTCACCTTCTGCGTCTAAAACGGTGATTGGCTCGCTCGTTGTTCACTATTTTAGAGGAAGACGGTGAATACGTCACCGTTTTTTTTTTAACTGTGAAATTTTCACTGCGTTTGACAAACGCAGTGAAGTCACGATGATATTCTTCACTGCGTTTGTCAAAAACGGTGAATGCCAAACATGTGTATTTTGGGAAATTTTTATAACTTATGTATTTTGGGAATATTTTTTAAGAACTAGTGTACAGTGGGATCTTTTCCATATTTTTTCATGTTTGTTATCCCATAAATTTTCTTTACTAGTCTTTAAGGTCCCAGATGGAATCATTGATGAAATCCACTCTCTGATCACAAGATTTTGGTGGGGACAAAAAGGGGAGGAGCAACGGATTCCTTGGATAGCGCGGGAGGATTTGATTTGTCCAAAAGGCGAGGGGGGAATGGGTTTCCGGGACCTCCGAGGTTTTAACACTTCCCTTCTAGCGCGTCAACTGTGGAACTTGTTTCAGCGCCAGTCCTCCCTCATTGCACGGTTACTGAAGGCAAAATACCATAAGAAGACTTCGATTCTGGATGCGAGTATTGGCTAATGAGCGCTCAAGAATTTTTGGTGGACGGAGTACGGTGGAGGATTGGGAATGGCTCGTCTGTGAAAATATGGGGAACCGTTGGCTTCTGTCAACACTGGGGTTTATTATTCAGTCTGCACCCATGGGGTTGCCGGTGGATGCCATGGTGAGAGATCTGATAGATGAGGACCTGGAGCAATGGGATGAAGCGGTGATGGAGATTTGTTTTCCTACGGAAATGGTAGAGGAAATTCGGAAGATACCCTTGAGAGGCGTTGGGGAAGAAGATCGGATAATCTGGGCAGATAGTCGAGACGGGAGTTATGTGGCGGAGGAGGGGTACAAGCGCTGGCTGGACAAATACCGCAGGGAGAGAGGGCTTGGTACGTGGGACAACCAAAGATTTGGAACAACATCAGGTCCATGAACATTCCACCGAAAGCTCGTATCTTCATGTGGAGATTTGCCTGAGACTCTTTAGCCACTGGGGACCATTTGAGCGTGAGAAGTGAGAGGCGAGGTGATGCCTGCCCATTCTGTAATACAAGGGAGACTCAGATCCATCTCTTCTCAGATTGTGCATGGTCAAGTAGGTTATGGCGTTCTTCCCAGGTCAATCATTGTTTTGAGATGAGAGGAACGCGTGGTTGCTTGGGATGGGTAGAGAAGGTGGTGGAGACGGTCCCTACGAGTGTGTTTGAGGAGTGGTATATGCTGCTTTGGATGTTATGGAATGAGAGAAATGCCCACTGTTTTAATGGGGAAAAGATGGAAGAACTAGATATAGTCCCTAGAGCACGATCTCTCCTTGATGAGTATCGCATGCATCAGACACGCGATGAAGCGGTCACATAGCATATGGTCGAACGTAATGTCAAATATTGTAATTTTTTATTTTTAATTGATTTTTTATCAATTAAAAAGCAACCAATCCCGATACAAGTTGCTTTCTAATTGATTTTTTTAATTCAATACAACTTAATGTCAAATATTTAATAGACAAACAAGATATTGGTCTAGTGATAATAGCACTAGTCTTAAATTTGGATTTCTCAGGTTCGAATCCCTTCAGCAGTACCTAATATAAAAAAGCAACTTATATCACCCTTATAAAAAAATATTATAACATATTGTCACGTAACGCAAGGTTGTCAAGCCCCCTGTTGGACCCGGTCCAACCTGAGTCGGACTTCAAAACGGCCTCTAGAAAGTCCCCCTATCTGATTCATGAAGAGGGAGAAGAAGAGAGAGGAAAGGGAGGAGGGGGAAAGAATAAAGGAAGATGGTGGCTGACTCGAGGTGTTTTAGTATGCTATATAGTATGGGTGTTTTATTATGTTTATAGCCCTTAGATCTTGTTATAAAATATCAGCCATTGGATTAAAGTTATTAAAATTTTTTTCACCCGTTGGAATGGTGACCTGTTGCACCGTTCGCTGCAAAATAATTAAAAAAAATTGAAATTCCAGTCGGGTAAAGCGATTGGCTCACAATACAACACTCGTCAATACCTTAGATTCGAGTTCAATTGTCTTCCCAACCAAAAGAAAAAAAGAGAAATTTATAAATGCTAAAGTAGGTTTCAAGTCGCTTTGACCGGATCGAATTAGGTTGGATACCCTTGGATTTTGGGTTCAATTGTGATCATGCGTAACAAAAAGGAAAAACTGAAAAAGAGAAAGAAAAAAGGTCTAACCTGCCAACTACAAAAGCGGATAAAGCTCGCTCACAATACAACACTCGTCGATACCTTAGGCCTCGTTTAGTATTGTTGCCTGTTTTTGTTTCCTGTTGTGTTTTTAAAGATTGGAGAAACCAAGAAAAAAAAACAAGTTTAGTTGGGTTTCTATTTTCTGTTGCGAATCAGAGTTGCACAACAAGGCCCAAATATGAGAAACAACAATTTATTGCTTTGGATCTGATTTTAAAACATGTTGCACACGGGATTCCTACTGGTTGGGCACTTGATTTCATTAAACCAGACCAGTTTTCGAATCCCCACAGAAGCAAAAAATTTTCTTTTTTTTTAACACAGCCGCCACCCCCCAAATCCTACTTCTAACATATCAGCCGCCGCCCCCCAAACTATTCTCCCCCTAAACCCTTCTCAACAGAGGCGTCACCGGCCACCCTTCTCAACAAGGCGCCACCTCCGCCGCGCCGCCCGCCACCTCCTCAGTCGCCGACCCCTCCGCCTCCGCGCCCGACCCCTCTACCTCCGTGCCGATCCAGCCTGCCGCGCAGCCCGAACCCTCCGCCGCGCAGCCAGCCCAGCCCGCCGACCCGCCGCCGACGTCCGCTTGCCGACCCCTCCGCCTCCGCGCTGACCCAGCCCGCCGCGCAGCCAGCCTAGCCCGCCGACCCGCGTTTTTGTAGTAACTAAACGCGTTTTTGTTTCTTGTTTTCAGCTTTAATGATTTTTCAGATTTATCAACTAAACAGGTTTGTGTTTTCTGTTTTTTTCCTGTTGTGGTTGTACATATGTTTACACAACACCACTGCAACCACAACAACAACAAAATGATACTAAACGGGCCCTTAGATTCGGGTCCAATTGTCTTCCCAACCAAAAGAAAAAAAGAGATTTATAAATACTAAAGTAGGTTTCAAGTCGCTTTGACTGGATCGAATTAGGTTGGATACCCTTGGATTTTGGGTTCAATTGTGATCATGCTCAACAAAAAGAAAAAGAGAAAGAAAAAACACTAAAGAGGATGAAACTCGGTCCCGATACAAACCTCGTGGTAGCGGCCTTGATTTGTGTGGTGGGGAACACTTAGGATTAAACAGACAGTATTTCGAGATGGGCTGCAAAATGGTGGGCAAAGGCGATGATTTGTGCAAAAAGCCATAGACGAAAAGTTAGCGGATAATAACTAACGCAAAGGCGATGATTTGTACAAAAAGCATAGACGAAAACCTAGCAAACAATAATCTTAGGTCATAGTTTTCAGGCCATTTTAAAGCCCTTTACAAAAGCTAAACACAAAGGTTGTAGAATGGAGAGTAGGGTAAAAGAATAAGTTGGAACTTCCCCACTTGCACTTGAAGGAATGTGAAAACCACTAATAAATAGTAACTCAAATGTTAGGTTATTATATATTAATTAATGATGAAGCACAATGTAAATCGCAGAACAGTCTTCATAGGACTACCCCGAAAAAGCACAATCTATAGTCAAAACAATTACAACATAGCATATGCAAAAGGAAACCTTAAGTATCAAGTGGTTCTATGGCCATAAACTATCCATTGATTATGAACAATCAAACTTTGGGTATCACTATCACTTGTTGCTTAGTTAAAGCACTAACACCCCATCACAATAAGTCAGCTAAACCGAAAAGGGTAAACTGCTCACAACATTAGTTGTGAGTATATACTCACACGACTAGATTGATGGTCACGCAGGCTGAGCCGAGATCCGAGGCCTAAGATGAAGGGGCTCAGATTGTGAGGGGAAGGGAGATGGGTTTGTGGCTCGACTAAACCAAGCCAGTCAATGATTTCTTCTTCTTTTTTGAGCAGGCCCCATAATTCAAAACACAAAAATTTGGATTTTAGTTTACTTCTCTCCGCAACAGAGAACATTCTCTCTTCCCTCTCCTCTTCGAAAATGCAACACAGGAATGAAGCAAGGCGCCTCCTCTCTTTCGTGAAGATCTCCAGCGACTCCTCTCTTCTAAGGTCCATCTTTGGCTACTTTCGACTTGTCCGGTAGGACGAGAACCCCACGAAGAGTCCCGTCTAAGGAAGAAAGTGACGGAGAAGCTCACATAGACGAAGAAAGAGAGTAGAGAAGCGACATCGAGGCATACCTCGCTTTGAGTTTGGCGTCCTACCTCATGGATACAAATTTGTGGGGTTTTGGGTAGGAGTTCGCATGCGATTGGGTTTGGGTTGTGTTTTTTTAGTAGTGATAACACCATAGTTACACATGTCTACACCCTCATTTCTTGATCGATTTGGTTTGAATTTGTGTGTTCCTTTGCTTATTTTATCATAGGTTGTGCTCGTGTGTCGCATTTCATGTCCTAGCAGGTAA